AAAGTATTGGTTTGCTTAGAATTAGTCAGCAGACTCCATTTTGTTTTCTCTAAAAATCTTTCTACATCAAATTTTTTTATCCAAAAGAATGAAATGTAGATCTTGAAAGCAAATTTTTGATTTATGCTCTATGTATCATCTTCCAAAAGATGTTGGAGTTGGGTTTACTTCACTACAATATAATTTCAAAACATCTGAATTTTCATAAAAGATAACCTAGTATATCAAATGATTAAAAATTTTCCAAACATTACACTTTTATGTTGGATTTTTTCTCAAGATGTAATATATAAGCTAAATTTTAATTTAAAAAAATCTCTAAACTCCTAACGAATTGAATTGATTTTCTATCTCAGTTTGATTTTTTCTCAGTTTCTGTTTCATCTACTATCTTCAAAAATTGAAATTCAGAGAGAAAAATGTTTCATTTCAACGAACGTTCGTTAATCCGAAGCAGAATTATTACCATAAATCCTTTTTGAAAAAATTTTACTTTCCTGTCTCAACCTATAACTGTACTTTGCTGTTTCAACTCTGAATTTCTATTTTGAAGTAAAGTTTTGGTTGAGAATGATGTATACTATTATCATGAAATTTTCAAATTTTAGCAAAACATATATTTTCCAGGTCAGTTATCAAAAGCAAACGAAAACCAAAATTCTTATTAAATCGATCCCCATTATTTGCTACGCACTACTCTATGATTACTTTTACTAGCACTAAGCAAGGAGAACTTTAAAATGGTCAATAGGTGAATACTTCCAAGTAATCGATGTTCAATAAATATCCTGCTTTTTATAGTATTTCAACAAACACTTAAGCACTCATTAGCGTATGTGATTTTTTTTTACTACCAATTTATCGCAACAAAATCCCCGCAAGCTGACAACCTATGGAGTTTTTACTTTAAATTTGAAATTTTCAGATCGATTTCCACTGAAAGTTTCAAGACAATTTGAACTCGGTTGTTGCTGGTTTTTACATCAATCAGAACCTTTGAATATGACAGAACAAGAATAGTGCTGAAAACTGTAAATTGTTTACCAGAAATTTTTCAAATTTAGTGTAAAGATTTTTCAGGTTCAGTAAAAATTCATTATTCAAAGTGTTTTCTACTATGTTTTTATTAAAAATATATCAATTTTACTTTTTCTTGGAGTGTGTTTTGAGACTGCTGATAACATTATTTATCATTATGTTGACAATGCTTCTTCTTGATATGATTAGTAAGTTCTTTGCTGATATATGTATTAAAGTTACAATTGGAACACTGTAAAACGCCACAGCAGTGCTTTCGATGTCTTGATGCGTGTAAGCGGGTGTATTCTCTGGCACATTCAAGACATGCAATTCTTTCGTTTCTATTCAGTTACGCCATCTCAAGAAATAGAAAAAGAAAAAATACGAGATTTAGAATGTCCCTAATTTTCAGAAAAGAAAAGTTGAATAGTCTCAAAAAATGGATAAAAAAAATAAAAAAAGCAAATTTCTTAACCAATTGTTTTTAAGGTGAAAAAAAATCAGAATGGATTTTGATTAGCTGAAAAAAAATTATCCTATCTAACTATGGAATTTTCAAAAGTTTTGCTATCAGCCAATCAGAATCGAGCAATTCTTATAAGGAAATATTCATCTTTTCTGATATCAGCCAATCAGAATTGACTTTCAATGGTCATGGAATTTTCAATAACTTTTAAGTCAACCAATCAAAACTGAGTTCTACTTCTCATGGATTTTTAAATAATTTTGATATCGTTTGTAGATATCAAGAATTTCTTCACAGGTAGTATTTGTGGTTATAATCAATCAGAATGAAATATTCACAGATTTAAAAATACTTTGTAGATCAGAACCAAACTATGTTTATGAAACTTCTCCATCAATCAATTTAATTGAATTGTTCTAACATAACTAACATATACAATTGACACCAAAGTGAGATAAATGAGATTTCTTGTCTGGTTTATGTTGTTTTTTCGATGCTAAATTCAAGTTTTGAAATTTTAATCAAAATTTTTTCGATTTGTTCTATTTCTAACCAGTGAAAAGTGAAATTACCGAAATAAACATTTTTTTGTTTTCTTTCTGGAATATTGTAATATAAACCACCAGAAATTTTATAATATTGGATAATCGATTAAAAGATTTTCGGACAAATCTAGATTTTGTCTTTGTAACAAATTCAAAACAGTAATCGAAATGATGTTCCTTCAATATTTGATTCATAGACTCTTCCATTCTTTTTTTTTCACTGATCGACCACTCAATTTGAGTTAGCTCTTCTAAATCAAAAATAACCTTGTTGATAAACCTGGCAGTACTCTTCTTTTCTGAAATCTCCTCTCCATCTTTTTAACAGAACTATTGAACTTTCTGCGTTTCTATACAAGTTAAAACTAATACAATCTCCATCAACGTCATCTGTCCACCGCTCTTTCTCTTTTTTGTAGTAGTTCAACCTTAAAATCTGATAAATGTTCAATTCAGACATTGAAAACGCTTTTGATAGAAAAATATTTCTTACTGAAATTAAAAAAAAAAGAAACTTCAAAAAAACTTGAATTGTTGTACCAATTTTTGATTAATTTGTAATCAACATAAAAATTTGTTTTTCCCTTATTTAGAGACTGATTATTTTTAAGTGAATTCATAAAGTCAATCAAAACTTCAAATTAAGGCAACTAAAAAAAACAATGAAATTCAGAAATTCAAAAAACAACAAAAATGTTACAATTAATTATACATTTTGTTTGTATTTTTGTTCAAATAAGACAAATTTTACTTAATTTTTAATAAAAGCAGTAATTAAATATTTTTTTTCCGTAATTTCAGAAACAAACACTGGAAAAGCAAACACTGGAAATCCCAGCTCTAAAACTAAATGTGCACTTCAGTGAAAAATGATAGCTTTGAACCAACAATATTTTTTTTAAATTAACAAACATACAAAATATCACAAAGCATTACTGAAGCTTACAATTATCAACAAACTATCAATAAATGAAAATGGAAGTAAAACGTATGAATCATCATGATTTCATTATATGGAAGTAATACCAAATATGGAATGTTTTATATGATATCTGATATACCGAAATCGCGTAGACGTTACTTCGCCTATAAAAATCCAAAATTCTCAGCAAAAATCAATCTTCCCAATGGCTGATGCTATGTGCCAAGCTCTTCCCAGCTTGTTTTCAGATTATTGCAAAAAATTGCTCTTTTTTTCGTTTCCAATGATTTTTACGAATAAAACATAGTAGCACATGATTATTGTGTCTGTACCCATAACGCTTTAGGTTCTTTGAGAATTGTAAGTTCCCGTTAGTTTTAATAGGAATATCTCTTAGCTCACTAGCCCGGGAGGTTTCATTAAACTTCAGAATCTTGACAATTTCCGTCCCAGTTTCAAACTGGTGCAGTAACTCGCCCGTTCTCTTATGATTCAGAGTATTTTTTTTAGATTTAAAAAACTAGCAAAATAACTAAAATCCACAAAATGTTTTCATCAACCTTATTCCCTTAGAATTAGTTCTGGAATTCTGAATGGTTAAATTTTATTGGTTATTTCTAGAATTTAGAAGATTGAGAAAAATCTAGAAGTTAATGTGTAACGACTTCCTATAAAATTCAAGGATTTAATCTGTAGATTCTAAAAACTAGAAGCTTCTAGAATTTAATGAATAATGACGTCAATTTCTCTGGTGGAAATTTTCCACAACTTTAACTGTTCTATAAAAGTTAAAGTGTAAAGGCGTCATTTTTTCAGGTGGTATTATTTTTTTTACCTGAATAATTCAAAAGACGCCTTCTTAGCTCTGTAGAGGAATCATGTCAGACCCTCTGAACGGCTTTTTCAAATAGTTTTTCTTATGATAATTGATATTTGTTACAAGAAATTTGTCAAAACTAATTTTTTTCTAGCTTGAACAGTTTTTAACACAAAAATTTGAATTTTACGTGCACGAAAATTTCACTCAAGTGTTTTGCAAAATGCAAAAATAATCTAAGAGTTTTTTTGGTAAAATGCACGTCTTTTTTTGTTTTTTTAAAAAATTATGAAAAATTCTAACTTCTTTTCGTAGATGATAAGGCAAAAAACGCAAAATTTTAATGTAAAAAGCATGTTGACTAATTGCTTAGAAAACTTTTATACTGATGACTTTCATCGCTATTCCCTATGTTAATATCTTGGTTCTCTAATGTTTCTGATCAACCGACATGCAAAAATGAGTTTTCTGAGGGTTAAATTTTGAATAAAACTTTCACACTTACTAAGTGTCTAGTTGAAAATTGTTTTGTATAAATTCATTTGTTTTGTATAAACATCTGGTTTTGCTAAAATATTGGTTTGCATAGAATTAGTCAGCAGACTCCATATTTTTTTCTCTAAAAATCTTTCTGCATCAAACTTTTTTATCCAAAAGAATGAAATGTAGATCTTGAAAGCAAATTTTTGATTTATGCTTCATGTAGCATCTTCCAAAAGATGTTGGAGTTGGGTGTACTTCACTACAAGAAAACTTCAAAAAATCTGAATTTTCATAAAACATAACCTAGTATATCAAATGATTAAAAATTTTCCAAACATTACACTTTTATGTTGGATTTTTTCTCAAGTTGTAATATTTAAGCTAAATTTTAATTTAAAAAAATCTCTAAACTCCTAATGAATTGAATTGAGTTTCTATCTCAATTTGATTTTTTCTCAGTTTCTGTTTCATGTACTATCTTCCAAAATTGAAATTCAGAGAGAAAAATGTTTCATTTCAACGAACGTTCATTAATCCGAAGCAGAATTATTACCATAAATCCTTTCAAAAAAATTTTCACTTTATTGTCTCGACTTAAAACTGTACTTTGCTGTTTCAACTCTGATCTTCTATTTTGAAGTAAAGTTTTGGTTGAGAATGATGTATACTATTATCATGAAATTTTCAAATTTTAGCAAAACATATATTTTCCAGGTCAGTTATCAAAAGCAAACGAAAACCAAAATTCTTATTAAATCGATCCCCATTATTTGCTACGCACTACTCTATGATTACTTTTACTAGCACTAAGCAAGGAGAACTTTAAAATGGTCAATAGGTGAATACTTCCAAGTAATCGATGTTCAATAAATATCCTGCTTTTTATAGTATTTCAACAAACACTTAAGCACTCATTAGCGTATGTGATTCTTTTTTACTACCAATTTATCGCAACAAAATCCCCGCAAGCTGACAACTTATGGAGTTTTTACTTAAAATTAGAGATTTTCGGATGGATTTCCATTGAAAATTTCAAGAACTTTTGAACTCGGTTGTTGCTGGTTTTTACATCAATTAGAACTTTTGAATATGACAGAACAAGAATAGTGATGAAAAACTGTAACTTTTTCACCAGAACATCTTCAAATTTAGTGTATAGGCTTTTCGGATTCAGTAAAAATTCATTATTCAAAGTGTTTTCTACTATGTTTTTATTAAAAAAATATCAATTTTAATTTTTCTTGGAGTGTGTTTTGAGACTGCTGATAATATTATTTATCATTATGTTGACAATGCTTCTTCTTGCTATGATTAGTAAGTTCTTCGCTGATATATGTATAAAAGTTACAATTGGAACACTTTAAAACGCCACAGCAGTGCTTTCGATGTCTTGATGAGTGTAAGCGGGTGTTTTCTCTGGCACATTCAAGACATGAAATTCTTTCTTTTCATTGCAGTTACGCCATCTCAAGAAACAGAAAAAAAATGCGAGATTTAGAATGACCCCAATTTTCAGAAAAGAAAAGTTTAATAGCCTCAAAAAATGAATAAAATTGAATAAAAAAAGCAAATTTCTTAACCAATTGTTTTTAAGGTGAAAAAAAATCAGAATGGATTTGCTATTTAGATTAGCTGAAAAAAAATTTATCCAATCTAACTATGGAATTTTCAAAAGTTTTGCTATCAGCCAATCAGAATCGAGCAATTCATTTAAGGAAATATTCATCTTTTCTGATATCAGCCAATCAGAATTGACTTTCAATGGTCATGAAGTTTTCAATAATTTTTAAGTCAACCAATCAAAACTGAGTTCTACTTCTCATGGATTTTTAAATAATTTTGATATCGTTTGTAGATATCAAGGATTTCTTCACAGGTAGTATCTGTGGTAATGAAACCAAACAGAATGAAATTTTCACAGATTTAAAAATACTTTGTAGATCAGAACCAAACTATGTTTATGAAACTTCTCCATCAATCAATTTAATTGAATTGTTCTAACATAACTAACATATACAATTGACACCAAAGTGAGATAAATGAGATTTCTTGTCTGGTTTATATTGTTTTTCGATGCTAAATTCAAACTTTGAAATTTCAATCAAAGTTTTTTCGATTTGTTCTTTTTCTAACCAGTGAAAATTGAAATTACCGAAATATACATTTTTTGTTTTCTTTCTGGAATATTGTAATATAAACAACCGGAAATTTTTAAATATTGGATAATCGATTAAAAAATTTTCGGACAAATCTAGATTTTGTATTTGTATCAAATTCAAAACAGTAATCGAAATGATGTTCCTTCAATATTTGGTTCATAGACTCTTCCATTCTTTTTTTTTTCACTGATCGACCACTCGATTTGAGTTAGCTCTTCTAAATAAAAACCTTGTTGATAAACCTGGCAGTACTCTTCTTTTCTGAAATCTCCTCTCCATCTTTTTAACAGAACTATTTAACTTTCTGTGTTTCTATACAAGTTAAAACTAATACAATCTCCATCAACGTCATCTGTCCACCACTCTTTCTCTTTTTTGTAGTAGTTCAACCTTAAAATCTGATAAATGTTCAATTGAGACATTGAAAACGCTTTTGATAGAAACATATTTTTTACTGATGTTAATAAAGAAACTTGAAAAAACTCGAATTGTTGTACCATTTTTGATTAATTTGTAATCAACATAGAAATTTGTTTTTCCCTTATTCAGACTCTGATTATTTTTAAGTGAATTCAGGTAGTCAATCAAAACATCAAATTAAGGCAACTAAAAAAACATTGAAATTAAGAAATTCAAAAAACAACAAAAATGTTACTATTAACTATACATTTTGTTTGTAATTTTGTTCAAATAAGACAAATTTTACTTAATTTTTGATGAAAGCAGTAATTAAATAATTTTTTCCGTAATTTCAGAAACAAACACTGGAAAAGCAAACACTGGATATCCCAGCTCTAAAACTAAATGTGCACTTCAGTGACAAATGATAGCTTTGAATCAACAATGTTTTTTTAAATTAACAAACATACAAAATATCACAAAGCATTACTGAAGCTTACAATTATCAACAAACTTGAAGTCTCCCAAAATTTGGGACTGTTATTTGAATTCGTTCAAAGTATAATTGACATAAGCAACTTGTTTCATTGCTTCAATCTCTTTTGCGGTGAACAGTCGAATCTGAATGTAGGGAGGTTTGTTAACATTGTAGTTTTTGATTGTGACATACACCCTCCTCATGTTGTATGTTGCTATTTCATATACTCTATTACAGATCGCCAGCTCCTGATCCATAGTTGATTCTTTGCCAACTTGGCTTCCTATATACGTACGAGTCCAAGGCTTTCAGCATCGTGAAGAACAGTTTTCCGGATTGCCGATAATGCTTCACCTTCTTTTTCACTAAGATAGACTTGTTGGGACTTTTCAAATTGTCCCAAACTGTTATTTTATAAAAGTTGAAATAAAATTTCCCATTGTAGGATTTTTGGAACCAAACAAATCTCCCAATTCTTGTTTGATTCTTTGAGAGTTCAATATAGTTGGGCCTAGTGTCTTTTCTTGAATACGTTTTTGAAGAACAGACTGATCAAATGATAGAATTGATTTTGAGGTTAAATGAAATGGAAGTAAAACGTATGAATCATCATGATTTAATTATATGGAAGTAATACCAAATATGGAATGTTTTATATGACATCTGATATACCGAAATCGCGTAGACGTTACTTCGCCTATAAAAATCCAAAGTTGTCAGCAAAAATCAATCTTCCCAATGGCTAATGCTATGTGCCAAGCTCTTCCCAGCTTTTTTCAGATTATTGCAAAAAATCAGTATTTTTTCGTTTCCAATGATTTTTACGAATAATACATAGTAGCACATGATTATTGTGTCTGTACCCATAACGCTTTAGGTTCTTTGAGAATTGTAAGTTCCAGTTAGTTTTAATAGGAATATCTCTTAGCCAAATTATTCAGAGATTGGATAAGTATGTATACATATATCAAGAAATTGACTGTCTTTACACTTTATTCAAGCACAGATTCTATTCAAGTTTTCTTACGTCAAGCGGAAAAATGTTCAATCAGCTTAGTCGAGCAGTTCAACAGAAACCGAAACGATGCCTAGTATTGCAAAGAAACGACTAATTCGGAAAAAATTCAAAAGATATTATTTATGTTCCAACCAGAAACTGGCGTCCACACAAACTCTTGGTTCAGCTATTCTGGATAGAATTCAAAAAATTCAAAACTCAAAAACTCATTTGTTCAAGATTTTTGATTGCTTTATTAATTGTCATGGTTCTGTGCATAGTGATTATGTAAACTTTGTGATAAAATAATCAATTGTCTTCAAATAAGCTCTTAAAAATTTACACTGATAAATCTTTAAAAACTAAGATTTGGTTCATGAACACTTTATTCAGATAAAAAGAAAAACCAATTTACAATTAATTGGGAAACGTAAAAAAATGTGTAGAAAGACAAAAATTGAGTAATTTTCGAGTTCCTTGTCACTTTTTTCTTCATGTGCCACACCATGTTTTCTTCTAAACAAAGCTAAGTTATCCTGTTGAAACTTCAATTTTTCTTTCTTGTACCTTGTATCACGAATTGTTTCAATTTTTCGCCAATCATTTAGGGAAACTCTTACGCGACTGAAACACTTTTTCGGATCTCTGTAGAAGATGTCAAATTCAACCATTTTTTCAAAAATAGTCATTTGTAGTAAATGTTCACTTGTAAGCAAATGAAAACTATTCCGTGTCCCAGATCCACAACTTCATCAAAATTTTTTCTTTTGAATCATATGAAAACCCGTACTTTTTTCTCGAAGTTGACTTAAGCATTGCCAATTCTTTTCTAAATTCTCTAATTCTTTTACTCTCGATTTCTCTCCATTTTGAAAGATCCATGATGGTTTGCTCACTAGCTTGGGAGGTTTCATTAAATTTCAGAATCTTGAAAATTTTGGTCCCAATTTCAAACTGGTGCAGTAACTCGCCCGTTCTCTTATGATTCAGAGTATCTTTTTTAAATTGAGAAAAAACTAGCAAAATAACTAAAATCCACAAATTGTTTTCATCAACCTCATCACCTTAGAATTAGTTCTGGAATTCTGATTGGTTAAATTTCAGTGGTTATTTCTAGAATTTAGAAGATTGAGAAAAATCTAGAAGTTAAAGTGTAATGACTTCTTATAAAATTTAAGGATTTAATCTGTAGATTCTAAGATTTAGAAGATTCCAGAATTTAATGAATAATGACGTCAATTTCTCTGGTGGAATCTTTCCACAACTTTTACTGTTCTATAAAAGTTAAAGTGTAATGGCGTCATTTTTTCAGGTGGTATTATTTTTTTAACCTAAATAATTCAAAAGACGCCTTCTTAGCTCTGTAGAAGAATGAATCATGTCAGACCCTCTGAATGGCTTTTTCAAATAGTTTTTCTTATGATTATTGATATTTGTTACAAGAATTTTGTCAAAACTAATTTTTTTCTAGCTTGAACAGTTTTTAACACAAAAATTTGAATTTTTTTCCTACGTGTACCAAAAATTCTGTCAAGTTTTTTGCAAAATGCAAAAATAATTGAAGAGTTTTTTTGGTAAAATGCACGTTTTTATTGTTTTTTTCAAAAATTATGAAAATTTCTAACTTTGTTTCTTAGATGATAAGGCAAAAAACGCAAAATTTCAATGTAAAAAGCATGTTGACTTGTTGCTTAGAAAACTTTTATACTGATGACTTTCATCGC